TTTTCAAAGTCGTTATGGAAACTTTGAAAATGATGCTTGACTAAGGTCCCAAGCACGTACCCTTCTAGAAAAGGCCCTGTGCTCCGTTTTCAGAATCTGGAGAGCAATGGGAGAATACCTCTAGCTTCCTATTTCTGTTACGTTCTCAGTGTCTTCCAAATGCTCTCTGAGAAACTGAATGTGACACAACTCTTTCAGAGGCACAGATGGGAGTGTGAATAGCCATTTTAAACCTATCTCGACCTTTAGAGAAAGGTTTTGGTGCTTCAGTGTACTTCTGCTGAAATAAAAATTAAGGCAAGTTTAGATGGAAATTTTTTTATTATCTTCTTAACATAAACCAGCTTTTTCTTTTGCCTGCTGGATGTCCTTTTACCTTATTCCTCAACTACCATATAATTATTGTCAGTTTCCTATATTATGTTCATAGTAAGGCTCTTTTAAATAAAAGGTGCATCAGGGGTGTTACACATTTAAAATATGTTAAGGCCAAACTAAAGTCGTGTTCCTCCTGCCTTGGATATGCAGCCCAGTGACCTCACTGTGTGGCTACCTGTCCTTCAAATGAAATATAAGTCAAGATATGGATATGCATATCCAAAAGATCAGACTAAGGCCCTGATAGACTGTGTAACCAAAAGATTTTCTTCTTTTACTTTCAAGACAAAACCCAGAAGTTTTGAAAGAAATGGCTAGATTTTAAAGGCAGTCTGTAATGGCTGAATCTTTTATTTTTGCCTTTTGAATCATATAGCAGTTTGTGAGAGTCAAACATTTGATAGCTGACTGAAAATAAATGAAATGTGAGCGCATTTCGGTGGAAGTAGGCCAGTTGCTAACATTCTCTTCCATTTCTGAAAGTTAAATTTCACTATTTAATTGGATACAAATTGAGCAATATTCGCCATAAGGGGGGATTTCTATATAAGTTCATGTTATCGGGGGAAAATGGCCTTTCTGGGTGCTGATTCTGTCATTTCTTACAAGTAGTATTTGCAGCTAACCTTGAAAACTTCACATTCAGGTACCATGTCTTTGAGAACATGGTTCTTGGACCAGCGTGCGGCTTCCACAGCATTGCGCCGGGCTTCTGCTTCAGCCAGGCATGCTTCCTGTGGCTGAATTAGGCCTGGAGAATGTTGCATCTTCAAACCTGCTTTCCAGTGTGCATTTGTAGAGCATAAGTCATCATTCCTCTGTAGACTCAGTAGTTTCCACAAGGGATGGAAGAATCTAGCCTTAATGCCATAAAATATTGGACGGATAGGGAGAAAACAGTACAAGAAAACAAGTGATGAGCTTGTACTATGTGGTTTTATATGGAAGCTTTCTACTGTTATGCCTATATACCTAATTACATTTTTACAACTACTTCAGAACAAGTATTAATTTTAGTTATTTAGTATAGTCATCAAGTTCCTTAATGTGGAAAATTTCATTTCAGCTATCTTTGTTTTTTATCATTTTAGTAGCACAGCTATGGCAATTTAAAGAAAGTAAGTTATTCTTTGTATTTATCATCAGTCACCTGCTTTTAAATCAGTTATGTGTTTTTAAATAAAATTTGGAAGTCATTTTGGTATGGCTATGATAAAATGTATGACAAACTACCCTCTACAAGAGTATGAATGCCAAAATGTTGAACTTAATTAGAAATGTTTAGATTATGAAGATAGTATTATATCCATGTATAGAATTTTAAATGCTTAAGTAGTTTTCTAGGATATAAATTTCAAAATTTAAAAATAAAGCAGTAAAATTCTTTATGTTTCCAGTGACTAAAGCTTATCAGGCAGTATATCTTAATTGGTAAGTTGTTGTAACTTAATAAAAACACAGTCTAAGCTTTAATTTATAAATGTAGGTAAATTCACAACTTTAAAACGTTTATGTAGTTGATACAATATTTTTATAACTTCATAGGATAAAGTATATGTACCTTCTTATGATAAAAATGTGGCCTATGAAGATTACACCATGAATAAGCCTGACTCTCCAACTAGCAGGAATTAACTTTATGCCAACTTTCATAGGAAAAGGAGCCTCTCACAAAACACTTTCAGTGGCAGAAACACTAGCCTACCAACTATTTTTTAAACCTTTGTTCATCAAGTCTCTGTCTAAACGTTCCTTAAGGAGTTTTGCAGAGCATAAGGTTAATGAGCTTATCCTTATAATCAGAAAAACTCCTGGATAACGGTGAAGCAATTCCGCATGTAAAATGGGTTCTGCTCATTTGAGAAGAGCAGAATACATGCAGAGTTTTTTTCCTTGTCTGTTTTCAAAAGACATGCTATGCTTCATAATGCCAGGCAGATAGAGGTAAACTAACTCACACACGGACACTCTCTTCTTTACAATGTACATTACCTCCACAGCCATTTAGAAAATTGAAGTTATTTGTATTTTAACATACTAAACACATTCACAAAAGTTTACAATCTAAAGACAGTACCAATAACAAAGACACATCCAGAGGTCAATACTTGGTAAACGGTGGATATAACTGTCATTCAGATTAATGGCTACCATTACTTGTGCTGTAAAGGATTTGCTTTAAATATTTGTATTTAAATATATGACACTTGTGTAATACATGGCAGAGAATTATAATGCAAAAAATTGAACATTTCACAACTGTATTAACAGTGGTAAAATAAGAAGTGAAGGGTGAGTATATTTTCTAAAGTTTTCAAATGGAAAAGTATATGTGTATTTGTGTGTGTATACATATATACTTATTACTTTCTTCCTTCAGATTTCTTTATTGAATGTCTGCCAATATTTTAGAGAAACATTTTGGAAATATGTGTTTTTATCACTAAAATATCGTTAATAATTCCTATTCATTAAGAAAATGCATTTTCTAATACAATTAAACAGACTTCTGCAAAGGCCACAATTGAGTTACATATCAAAATGAAGAGATCAAATTATCTAAACACTATAATTCTCTCTATAAGAGTAATAACAAAATGCATTCAATCATTCATTTTTCATAAATTCAACATAACCATTTAGTGTCTATTCTATGCTTGGATCTTTTGGTGTATAGATGTATATTTGTGTATGTGTGTACATTTTTATGTACACAAATATACAATTTTATGTATATATATAATTTATATATATATTTATGAGAATATTTGATCAAAGCAAACAAGTATTATGGGTAAAACATTCTATAAAATTTAGCATGGAGAAATCATAAGAAAGAAAGGCTTCATGGAAAAGGTGGAACATGACCAGGCTCAGAAGAAATTATTCAGTTTGGATTGGCCAAAAGGAAGAAGAAACATGAAGCTTTTTATAACTAACCTCAAAATAATTTGGTTTCTTACTGGTTTTATTTATACAGTGGATATTATTGCTGCCACTCATCAAATGTCAGTGTCCAACCCATAAACCACCAATGAAATTGGAAGGGAAGAATTATCTAGTATTTTCTTGGTTATACCAGAAGCTGCTGCAATTCTATCCAGCAGTAGCTTTCCTGGGGTTTTCTTAAAAGAATAAAGATATTCTGGCTGTAAGAAGCAGAAAAATCCTGAGTGAATAAAATATGTCTTTACCTTCCACCTCTCCAAAAAGTAGAGGATTTTAACGGTAAAAATTCTTGTACTCTAATGATCCTAAGAACCATAGGCCATAATCGATGGCCTAGTCTCTCTTTAGCATACTCCAGACTAGGAGATATTTTATTATAGAATTATATTTTGACTTAGGGTGACTTTCATAATATATTTAATTGGACATGGTTAACGTCACCCTCAAAGTAATACCACAGAAAATATCATCTGGATACTACTCTTCCATGTTCATGTTATAAAGTGTTAAACTACATTTGCATGGTGATTTCAAAAAATCAAGAATTTTGAGTCAAATTTCCTCCAATATGACTGATGCTTAGGGAGTTATCCAGGTATTTTTCAGTAACACATTAACTCTTTCAGAGGGTTAGGGCAGAGTGACCCTATCACTCAGCTACTAAAGTTAATGGGGACTTTGAAACCATTAACGTGTCCATGTTCTTTCATTCTAAAAGTTTTACATTCCCTGGGTTGTGCTGTATGTCATATCTTTGCATCACTTTTCATAAAGCATTGCACATCCATAATGTCATCCCAAGTGGTATCAGAGTACTTATTAGATATTTATTCTTGCAACACTAAAGTGGCTCTTCCTAGCCACGTGGCATGTCACAATAATTTTTTTAAAGGAAAAATTCACAGCCTGATCACATGTTGAATTCAGAATATGCTCCTAATGAAAGTCTATACAGATTTTGAACAATGTCATTTATGAAGAAATTTCCATTTCGTTTAGAATTCTTTGGCAAGTATTGAATTCATTTAAGCAGTTCAAAAAAGGGAGAGAAAGAGAAAGATCTATCATTTTTCTGCTAGTAAAGTAAAAAGAAAATTATGTAAGCCAGAGAAAAATATAGCTCAAAGTTGAACTATAATGACTGTGACTAATGTTAATGTGCCACTCTTCCTTTCTAAAATTACAGAAACATGGACAGTAGTTACAGAAAACTGGTAATGTTCTTTGCCCTCTGAAAATTTCCATTGAAGAGTGGAAATTACAATTTGATTTGAAGCATTTTAATTAATATAATCAATAGTGAATGTCAGCATACCAAACTTTTATCAAGCTATTCTTGATTTGGCCTGAGTGTTGATGTATTAAATTATTTTCATATGGCATCCATAGACAAATAGAGATCATAAACAAGTTAATCAGTAAAATCACTCCCAAATCACCCACGTTGAACGCTGTCTAACCATTTTTTGTCTGAATCAACTTAGTAGTTACATTGTTTTAAACAATAGGACTTCAAGTATGTTAAAGTATTAGTACACAATTATCAGTACTGTTAACAGAGTCAAATGCTATCACTACCACCATCATTTTTTCACACCATCACAGAGCATTTCCAAATTAGCTGAATAAAAGGGGAGAAAAATCAAATCTTTGCAATGTGGTTTTGTTTCCAGAAATTAAATGCAACCAGCTCATCTGAAGGAAGTACAGTTGATGTTGCTCTGCCCCGAGAAGGTGAACAAGCTGAAACTGAACCCGAGGAAGACCTTAAGCCAGAAGCTTGTTTTACTGAAGGTAAACAAGCTCCAATATGGTTAAATGCAATCTCCCTTCTTTCCTTAGAGACTAAATATACCTCATTTGAAGGAAATATTTCAAAGAAATGGTGAAGGCATATTTATCTTTGTTTTCCTCTTTTCTTCCAAAAAGTTAATTTATCTGTATTTCCTGATTATACTATAGCAGCTACTGTGCCTGGACAATTAAGATAATTTGACACATCCTTTTTTTCATCCTCCAGAATGTGGAGAAGTGAATCCTAGAAGATAAATGGCATTCTGGAACATCATCTCATTATTGATAAAACAATCCCTTCAGACCTCATTGGCAATGTTGTGATTTGATTTATAGATGCTGCAATAATTACACTCCATCTCTAACAGTTTCAAATGTGGTTAATTTGGGCTGTGACCAGAGCTGTTTGGGGATATAGATGTGCTCTAGAGCCTTGTCAGGGAGACCAGCAGTTATTCTCACAGTGACCAGTACAGTGGCTAGCACACAAATCAATAAAGGTTTGCTGATTCAGTGTGATTGGATTGAATCCCATAAGTAGTAACTCAGAGCAGAAGAGTGGATGGAAGTTTAGAAATAACATGAAAGCTAAGAGCGGGAGGACAAAGGAAGAGAGATACTGACTGACAAGATGAGTCATAGGTATGACTAAGAAAAGCACTGAGGCTGAAAATAAATAGCTTGGGAAAACTGACAGTGGATGATACCTTGGGAGACAGGGGAATTTTCTGTGTGAAAAGAAGTGTGTAAAAATCCAGGATCACATCAAAAAATGAATAAACAATTTGAATATGCAGTTTTTCCCCAAACCTGAGAGATGTTCTTGTCCATGATAGGCCTTGAGGCAGAGAGAGATCCTAAGCAGGGTTAAAGAATGGAACCATTTATACTCAAGCAGCTCCTGGTAAAGTAATTCTTTGATTCTACGTAGCTGGCTGATATGTAAGTCTGAGAATGATTCACTATACAGGAGGGATGCTGAAGATAACTAAGGGATGACATAGCCAGTTGCTATATAAAATGATGATCTGAGACTAGGACTGGGGAGGGAGGAACAAAGTTTATTTCTTCCTATTTAAGATTGAAATATATTTTTCTAATTTATTATATTTAATGTTATCTTTTAGGATGTATTAAAAAGTTTCCATTCTGTCAAGTAAGTATAGAAGAAGGCAAAGGAAAAGTCTGGTGGAATCTGCGGAAAACCTGCTATAGCATTGTTGAACACAACTGGTTTGAGACTTTCATTGTCTTCATGATCCTTCTCAGTAGTGGTGCTTTGGTAAGTGTAACGCATTATTGGCAAGAATCAGGTTCTAGTGAAATAGCTTATCTCCAAAAATACCAGAAGCATACACTTAGTTTAAAGAGCAAAACAAGAGGTATATTTGTACCTTGCAGAGCTTGGCACCCAGGGTTTAACTATGCAAAATTCATTACAGAATAAATTAGAACCACGAGCAGCCAGATGGAATTTCTCGTCTGGTGCTTTTCTAACAGATGTTTTCCTTACTGAGACAACCATTTCCAGGGACATTCTCTAACTACATTACCTTCCATGTCAAATCCCATCCAGTTCTCCCAAATAATCATAGTAATATTTATGGACTAAAAGTGTATTTTTTTATGTCTAATCAATTTATTCTTTCAAAATGAGCCAGATCATTCAGAGAATTGATGAAAGTAAGGTTGGAATAGGCCAAGTCTATCCCTCGTTAACAGAACTTCTAGATATTTTCTGAGTTCATATTACTTCTCTAAAAGCATGTCTTTGTAGAAGTAATTGAGATACAGATTTTGGGGTGAGAGGCAGAGAAGAAAGCACAAACTCAATCAGTAAAGATACTGACATTTTCTTGCCAACATTTTCCATGAGTTTTAGTCTTTAGATTTCGTCTGGTTCCACATTTGTCTGATACTAGCCAATATTTATCAAATTAGTGCTTTGTGCCAAGCATTCTACTTAGAATTTTATCAAGTATTTGGGTGGAGGCAAGCCATTCAAATAAAATAAAAGCATTCTTGATTCACAGGCTTTTGAAGATATATACATTGAACAACGAAAAACTATCAAAACCATGCTAGAATATGCTGACAAGGTCTTCACTTATATATTCATCCTGGAAATGCTTCTCAAATGGGTAGCTTATGGATTTCAAACCTATTTCACTAATGCCTGGTGCTGGCTAGATTTCTTGATTGTCGATGTAAGTATCCTAAGTGATTTTTATGAAATTATTCTTAAAAGAGGCAAGTTTGGCATTTCATATATTTCTATAATTAAAACCTTGACTTTAATTAGACCCTAGTTTCACTAATTCTGACACAATTATGCAATTATCTTTTTAAAAAACTACAAAAAAATGCAAAAATGAGGTAAGTCTCATGGGAAAGCAGTAGAAAAGGTCCTAAAAATGTGGACAGTGGTAAGAGAAAACACAGAGAGAGTTGTTCTAGGCCACAAGCAAATAGCTCTTCTTTTTCTGAAAATTAAGGATCTCAAGGTAAGGAATAGCTAAAAATCTGTTAATTGACAGATCTAGCTTATTAACAGTTCAATTGAAAAAAAATATCTCCAGGAGGTAAAATCAAGACATATTTGGGGCCAGGAATTGTCAGAATTGCACTCTAATCCCTTACTAGAGTGTATGTTACTAAATAATGTTAAAATAACCTATTCACTGTATTCATTCAGCCACAAACCCACAGAGACAATAAAATGTTTTTCCATTCTTAAATCAGTAGTTAGATATCTCAGTAGCTAATGAAATATTTACCATGCAAAGAGATAGGTGTAGAAGCCCTGTTCTGAATCTGATTACCCTGAGGTGAATAGTCACAGGAACATTGCCAATAACAAGACCTGTCTGACTTGCAGCCTACTTTTTTATTCCAAGCAATGGAGAGGCACTGGGGCAAAATGAGAGTCAACTGGTCCTTTGTAGTCTGTGATGTTCCATTGCACAAGGCTTCTCAGCCTCCTCCACCTCAAAAAGGTGCTTTAAGCACTATCTCTAGCTGTTTCCCAGCAATTATAAAGCACTTTATTTTTAGTTCTAACGCTTGCCACTATGAATCAATGATTGTCATTATGTGTGCATTCATTCTTTTTATCGTCTTTGACAAGTGTGGGCCTATCTAAATTCTACTCCCCTTTCTCCCATACATATACACTCGAAGTTCTATAACCAAAATGTGTTCAACCCTTTGAGTTGAGACAAAATCTGGTGCCAAGTCACTATTAATAGATCAGAAATGACTTCCAACCTTCCGTGTCTGGTCTTTAATGAATAACAGAGATGAATCTCAATACTGTCCTGAAAAGCTTCCAAACAGGGAAGTTTAATATTTTCATATTCTGCAGATTGAACGGACCTTAAAGAATATCTATGCTCTATTCTACACAGTCTTCTAAACAATTTATTGTAAACTAAAGCCTCAGTTTGAAGAATTTTCCTTAGATAGTACAACTGCTTAGTAACAAAGTTGAGATTAGTGTCCTAATTTCCTAATTCTCAATTCAGTGCTCCTTTATCCTACAGATTTCTTATCTAACTCATACAAATGTTATATTTATATTTTCATACTGGCTTTGGAATTCAGCATTTATGATCTCCAGCTTTTCCCTGAAATGATGGGACACGAAACACATAATATTCTCTGGTTCAAAAAACTTTTGTCATGTATGCAGATCACTTACAAATGTGATAGAACTTCTCCAGAAAATTCTGAAATTTACTAAAATATTTTCATTTACTGAAAAATTTACATTCACTGAAACACTTACTACATTGTACTTAAGTCTGTGTATTTCCCTCACATAGAAGAAATAAATGTAATGCAAAAATCTGTCAAGGTTTTATATCATGTTTGAATCCTTAGAAAGCTAATATAGACACTTAGTTAGCTACAGAATAATGTCAAAGAATGGTGCCCCCCAAATTACTTCCCTTTTAGTAAGTTTAAATTAGTAAAATGGAACTGGGTAACTTTGGGCAAGTTATGTAATCTTAAATGGATCTATCTTCTTCTTTTCCCAAAGCAGGGACTACAATATGTGAATTCATGTAACCTCAACTAACAACTTGTTCTCAGACCACTGGGTCCAATAAGCTAAAGTAAACATAGAGTTAAAACAGTTTTTGAAAGTACAAGTAAAACATACTTAAAAGGGTTTCACAGTCCATAAGATAGATTGCTATACCAACTAAGCAGTCACAGAAAGCTCAAAACAAAACAAAGCAAAACCCCAAAAACTGAAGTATAAGTGAAGTAACTTCAAACCAGAAGAAATCCACTTTTAAACCTGGAGAAATTTATCTATGTAAAATTTATCTATCTTCAATTCCCTACCTAAAAATAAAGGTATTGGGTTATCTCTCCAACCTCCGTTAACATTCATTCATTTGTCTAATAAATATTTTGAGCACCTAATAAGGGCCACATGCTATTTTAGATAAAGAAGATATGAACAAGACAAATCAAGCCCTGTTAGATCTACAGGATCTAACACTCTAAGAGAGACTGGAACAGACAGTAAAGATGTAAACAAATAAAATCCAAAAATAAGATAAAAGCAGATGGTGATCACTGCTATGAAAGAAAACAGGATAAGAGGATAGAGAATGACTGCAGAGTGGGGAGCAGGAGAGTTTTACCCAGAGTTTCTATGGAAGGTGTCTTTGATGAGGTAAATGATGAGAAATAGTGTCTCAGTACCTGTGGGCTGCTGTAACATAATACCATAGACTTAGTGACCTGTAAACAACAGAATTTATTTCTCACAGTTCTGGAGGCTGCAAAGTCCCAGAATAAAGCACCAGCAGATTCAGTGTCTGGTGAGAGCCTGCTTCCTGATTCATAGGCAGCAGTCTTCTCGCTGTGTCTTCACATACAGGAAGGGGCAAGCAAGCTCTCTGGGGTGTCTTTTATAAATAAGGGCACTAATCCCATTCATGAGGGCTCTGCCTTCATGACCTAATACCCTCCCAAAGACCCCACCTCCAAATACCTTCACACTGGGGTTTAGGTTTCAACATATGAATTTTGGGGGGGACATAAACATTCAGTCTATAACAATGGGACAGTTATTTGAAGACCTGAGGGAATAGAAAAGAACAATCTCAAGGCGCCAAAGTATGAGCCAGGGACACTCAAGAGACAGAAGGAAAACTGTTGTGCTGTGTGTGATGAAACACGGGCAAGAGTAATAGACACTGAATTCAGAAAGGCACCTAGAGGCCATGGTAAGAAGTTCATGTTTTACTGTAATTTAATGTCTATTGTACATATTATGTAATTTAATGTATATTGATTACAGTTGCGATGGGAAACTCAAGGGAGAAAGGGTGAGCAGGGATCTGTTCTACTGTTTTTAAATTATCACATCTGGCTATGGTGAAGGAACAGCAAAAAAGTCAAAGCAGGGAGACCAATTAGGGAGCTGTGTTAATAATCTAGGAAAGAGAAGATTATGTCTTAGACTAAGGCAATGAGACTTACTGATGAACGGGATGTATGACATGAAGAAAAAGGAGAATTCAATAGAGTTTCTTTCAATCTGAACAAATGGGTAGAAGATGAAACCATTAACTGGAATGGATAAGATCAGAAAACAGGCTTGACAGGGCAAGCAGATGGTAGGTGGAAGAGGGATGTACTAAGTTTGAGATGCCAATTAGACATTCAAGAGTACACGGTGAGTTTTACCCAAGTCTCGAGTTCTGAAGAGAATCTAACACCTGATTATGGATTTGGCAGTCATCAGGAAAGAGATGACATTTGAAATCATGAACCCGGATTAGCTCACCTAGGCAGAGAATGCAAGCTGACAAACAAAAGAGCCCAGACCAAACTCTGGAGACACTTCAACATTTAGAAGTTGGGCAAAGGAGAAGGAACCAGTAAATTAGATTGAGAAGTAGCAATTAGAAGAAAAAGGAAAACAAAATATACATGGTATCACAGAAGCCCAGAGGAGGATAGTTGGGTTTTTCCAAAGGAGAGGTGATCAATTTTGTGATCAAAAGGCCGCAAGGAGGTCAAGTGACATGAGTACTGAGAAATGACACTTACATTTGGCAGAATGGATGTCATTGCTGTCATAGTTAAGAGATGTCTCATGGAAGTATGGGGATAAAGTACTAGAAATATTGGTAAGGTTGAGGAAGAATGGAGGCCAAGAGATAGAGACAGCAAGTATGATAATTCAGGTTGGAATCAAGTAGGACAACTTAACCCATGCCTTTGCTGTCAGAATCGCACACTAGATGGACCACTTTTTCTAACTCTGTATAATTATTTTCTCCTATCCAAAGGCAAAAGATACTATATTCATATGAAAACCAAACTATCCTGTATTATAACTATACAAGCTATACTTTAGATGCTATTATTATCCATAGAATGAATTAAACATGTGATCATAATTTATTGAAAAAAATTCACATTTCTTGTGGTCCTTATGGATTTTTGCATAAGTGTCATCCCTAAGAAAATTCATTGAGCATCTATCATGACAACTTCAAATTTGGTTCTAAATTATCCTAAGGTGCCAGTGTTTCCAAAACACACTCTTGGTAAAGATTCAACCATCATGAAATATTTATTGCCCACAAGTAATTTCCACTTTAGAGACAGCACAGGTTGCTGATGTGGTTGAAATGAGATGCTTGATGTCTGCTACTCAGACATCCTGCTTGCTCAAGGGCTCCTTAGAATCCTCATCAGCTGCTCTGCTGAAGTGAACAAAAGCAGAATAGGGACATTTTCTGATTCTAATATGTATTAACAATTGCCATCAACCTCTAGAATCCAGTGATCCTGGCTGTTCTTGACATTTATTTTTGACATATCAGCATCCTCAATAATGAAGCCAGAATTGTTATTAATATTAGTAGCCACAATAAGATGCCTAGCACTTCCTGAACACTTACTGTGGGAATAGCACTAATTCAGAGCCTTACCTAATAATAAAGAAAACTGGTAACCCTGATTTAATGCTTACTGTGTACAATTGCTGCTAAAATCACTTTACATACGTTAATTCATCTAATCTTCAAAACTCTATGAGTTAGAAACCATAATTATTCTCATTTTGCAGATGGGGAAACTAAGACAAAGAAAAGTTGTTACTTGTAAACACAGTAAATAAGAAAGAGACTAAGCTGGATTTTGTAACCAAGGAGTTTGGCTCTAATGACTGTGC